AAGCAGATTCTCTAGGGTGAGCAATCCTCACAGGTAATTTCAATTCATGTACATACAGTGGAATCTGAGAATCAAAAGGATACATGGCAGGTTGATGTATATGGGATCTAATCTGAAACACAGAAAAGCTGTGGGAAGAGAACACGGAGGAATCCACAATTTAGGGTGAACTTGAGTATTATGAATGATTTTACAATTTCTGTTAAAATTGAACTTTTTCTATGTTTTATGTCCTCAGTTGTCCTGTTGGTTTCTCCAGTTAACCTCTGTTGTGGTGATTCTCAACCTGAGTACCTTTTGTAATGGCTGGAGACATTTCTGATTGTCATAAACATGGGGATGCTGCTGGCATCTAGTGGGCACAGTCCATGGATACAGCTAACTTCCCACAGTGCATAGGAGAGCCCCTGTATTACTCACGATTCTTCAGAGAAACAGAAAATACACCATATCCCAGCTCACTGAGTTAGACAGGAAGTTTCTTCTCTAATTTATGTCTTTCCTTGATCAGATGAGATTCACCCACATTGGGGAGGTCAGTATCATTTCATCTGTTCCTCCAAATGTTATTCTACTCCAGAGCATCTTACAGACACACAGAATGATGTTTAAACAAATGTCTGGATGTTCTGTTCCCAGATATGTTGACATATAAAATTGACCACTACAGCTGCCCCAAACCAAGAATTAACTGACCCAAAATGTCACTGGAGCTAAGGTTGAGAAGTTCTAATACTGTGAAGTGTAACAGCACCCTTAAAATAAAAATATTCTGGTGCCTAGCATTGATAAGGGTAAGATGTGGCTAGACAAGATAGCAGTAGACATGACCTAGATGGAACTTGAGGAAGCCAGATGAGATAGAGAAAAAAGGACCTGGCAGCCTAGGATAAAGGAATTTGGCTTAGATGAACATTAGAAACTTGAGCATTTTTCATTGGAATATTATTTTTCCAATATTTCTAAAAATATTTTATATTGGTTAATATTCTCTAGAGAAAAAATACATATATTTTCAGAGGTAGGATAGTGTGTGCTGGTGCCTGAGAATCAGTGGCTGCTGAGTCTGAGAAGCTGGAAGCCTCAGAATGACAGGGATCAAAGATAAATTCCAGCCCAAGAATAAAGGCCTGGATGTCCCTTGGATAGTGAATGGTGTAAATAAATCTGCATTGAAACCTGAAGAAACTAGAATCTGATGTCCTTTGGCAATGGCAGCAGCATATGAGCCACCTGCCAGACAGAATGGAGCTTCTGAAATATAAGCTGACTCCCTCCTTCTCCCTTTAATCTATGGGGGATAGAAGGGAAACGCTGATTGAATGAAGCCACCCACAGTCAGGGCAGGTCTTCGCTCAATTTGCTGGCTTATTGGATGGTCATCTCTAGAAACACCTTTTTAGCCACACCCAAAATTGTGCTTTACTAATCTGCTAGGCATCTTTTAACCTAGACCAGTAATGACGAACCTTTTAGAGCCTCGTAGATAGCAAACAGCCTCCTGCAGCATGTTTGCCATAGGTTTGCCACCACTGAGACAAATGGACCGTCAAGATTAAGCCTCACAATGTTAATGTAAAATAAGACTATTACATATTTTACAGATTGAAAAAATAGGACAAATTTAATATCATCATTTAGATAGCATACCTCCTCTTCTGGGAGGTGTCTTATAGTTCTTCAACCTCAAAAAGTGGAAATGTGAGATAGAAGTAGGATTAATGAGCCGGTGCAAAATTAATAGTACATTATTAGTTACCTGAACTATTTTTTGAGAGGGAATTCTGGGAATACTTATAACACATGTGTTGCCTTTCTAAGATGGAAATGGCTCAACATGTGAGAACTGGAGCTGGTCAGTACAGAGGAATGGTTCTGTGAAAATAGTGATTATTTTTTGAGACCGGGTCTCGCTATATAGCTCAGACTGGTCTTTAGCTCTCTCTGCAGGCCAAGCTGGACTTGAACTGATGGCAATCATCCTGCCTCAGCCTCCAGAGTGCTTGGATCAAGATGTGTGCCACCACAACTGGCTAAAACACTGATTTAAAATATACTGTCTTATTGTCTTCAAATGTGTGGCTCTCTCTGCCTGATGTGTGTGAGCCTTGAATGAATGAGACAGTAATAAGTATGAAAATGGTGGCTGGCCTCTTAGAACTTATATTTACTCGGAGAGAAGAGACTGGTGTCATGAAATAATAGCAATATTCCTAAATTCATCTATTACTCTTCTGGTAAATACTTCCTAATTTTCTCTTGCGGTTGTGATTTCCCTTATTTCATGTTTGTTCCTGAGAGGAGTTGTGCTCATTGCCAGAGATAAGTTGTCACATAGGCATAGGCATTTGGTTGTCTTTTTCAAGTGTGGGCCCCTGATGTCATGTCAAACCAGTCTCATCTATTCATGCTTATTCTGAGACTGTTTACATTTACTGTTGAATCAGGAGCTGATGCTGTTGTATCAGAAGTTCATGACCATAACCTTGCCATACTATAGGATTATGGTTGATAAGCCTTATGTGCTTATAGATAGGACTTCTAGAAGGTGAATGGATCATGGGTATGGGATAATCATCAGTGGATGAATTCACTAATGAGTTTACAGTTAAGTGTGATGTTGGCAGATCAAGCCTGGTCAGAGGAGAGGGGTCACTGCTGGTGTGGCCTGGCAGGGTCTCTCCCTCCTTCCTCCTTGATCACTCTCTGATGTCCATGGCATGGACTGTTTCTCCTCTGTGATACCCCTCTGCCTTGCTGTCTTGCCAGAGCCAGCTGACTATTGACTGAAACCTCTACAGTGAGCCACAATAAATCTTTCCTTCTTTAAATTGTGGGTGTTAGGTATTGTGTCCCAGTGACCAGGAAAGTAACTAAGACAGGAGGCACCAAGTAAAAATGTTTTTCAAGGTAGAACAGAACTAAGAGGTATCATTTGTGTTCTTATTTAAAGCTGTACCTGCAGCCAGTATATTACCAAAATTGTTATGCAACCATTACATTTCCATTTTGTTTGTGTGAGTTTGTATTATAAATTATTTTACTAATGACTAAAAAAACTAAAATATATACAGAATTATTAGGAGAAATTGTACAATAAGAGTGAAAGAGAGAAAGAGAGGTATAGCCAACTTACATCTAATAGATTTGTCTTTCGTACTCTGTTATTTAGTCTTTTATTTACCAAATTAGAACATTGCACTGTTGCATGTTTGTATTTTTGAAAGGTTACTAAAATTGTACACGCTATTGTATTAATCTTTTGTTTTAAGCCTTTTTCATGTTTCAGAGAGTTTTTATATTTGAGAAGTGCTGTGATAAAAGTTTTTGAGAGCGTAAGTCTTAGAAAATTGAAAGGTTATTCTTTTTTATTAAAACAATAAAACAAAATTGTAGAGGATAACAATTATAAACAGAAGCAACAGACTTGATAGTACTCTTAAGTACAGACACAGATCAACAGAATTGACTATTTTGGATTTTTTTTTTTTAGTTCACTGTAGAAATTAGTTAATTGTAAAAACTTTTTAATCATGAAATAAGTAAATGTTGAAATATATGGATTATTAGTTTGAGGAAGTAGTTCTCTGTTATCAGCCTCAAAATGATTGTTAAAATGCATAGGGTTCTTAGGTAAGACATTTGTGACATGACATATTAGAATCTGGAAGAAGAAAAATATTTTCACAGTGTTTAACATCACTGAATCAAAATAATTGTGTAGATCATACTCGAGTTCAGATATAACCTAGATAAATTCTCTAGCTATGGCACACATCTGTCAAAAAAGAAAACTCTGGCTCTCACTTTAAATGGCTCTGTTAGACTGAGGTCATCTTGTTGTATCTAAAATAGACATGAAATGTCAATTTCATACATTATAGCGGCACATTTCATATTGCTCTACTTAAGGTTATGTCAGCCTCACCCATAAAAAGCAAGTGATTTAGGTCTGATTCTAAATGAACTAGGCAGAGATATCAGCCACGGGCCCTGCCTTGCATTTACAGGCAGGGAATGTGAGAAGAGGCAGTAAGAACCCTTTCTCTGGTCTCTTGACGCTGGAACTTTAAGATGTTTCAAGTCACGATGTCTTCTCCCACATGTTCATTCATTATGATTGGTACTTTCTGGGGGTGGTGCATTTTTGGAAAGATGCTGTATTCAAAATTGTTTATTGCCTACCAGTGACTGGCTTGCTTAGGTTATGTTTGTGGTAGTTTTTATATCTTTATCACTCTGAGAAACTTATAAACCTTGTCTAGAGAGAAGATAGCATTTAGGGAATTTGCTTATCGTGGCTCATTCACAAGTGTTATGGCTTATGTCTAGTTGTCTTCCCAAAGCTTTGTGAAGACATAGGTGGGTTTTTTTCAGAGGTGGCTGAATCTAGAGTGTGTGATTGATTCATGGTGCACAGCTAGGACTAAGAGAGCTAGGATTAAGGGTGGGTGATTACTAAATCAATTCACTCATTGGTTTGGCACTGCCCTAATCCCAGTAGTGTAGATACGATATAAGGAACAGAAAGAGGCTTGTCTTGTTTCTTGCTTGCTTTGGTACCTCTGCCCACCAGGAACTGTTTCTCCTCTGCAATACCTGTCTGCCATGCCACCCTGCCTTGGAGCCAGTCAATTATGGACTGAATTTACTATTCTCTATAAACTGAGTGAAATAATACTTTTCCCCCTTAACTTTGGGTGTTGGGTATTTTGTCTCAGCATTGAGAAAAGTAACTAAGACAACAAGTGACAGAAAAGTACTGCAAATAATTTAAGACAAAAAAAACTAGATTTTGAGGCAGAACATTTTTAGATCAGTGGGGGGGTTTGGAGAGTTAGTCTTTTAGTATGTTAAGGTCAAAGAGGACTGGCAGCCATCAACTAGCTACAACATACCATACCATGGAGGCAGTCTTGGGAGAATTCTTATCATTTTCTTGCTGCTTCTTATTTCCCTGAAGCTGTGCAGACATTACATCTTACTTACTCTTTGCTTGTCTGGATTGCAATTCAGAGTCCTGGGTAGGTTTCATTACCTTGGCTGAGCATATTTCAGGCAGTGTACCCAAGCTGCAGAGAGGTTGGAACAGTAAATGGTCCACTGAATTAGTTAATTAACAACTTGATTGGTCTGGGAACCAACCATGTAGGGGATTAAAGGCACACTTATGTCTGGGTGTGTCATAGATGTTCAACCTTGGGAGGGTCTATGTCTGCTCTTTGGGCTCCTCTTCCTCTTCAGTACTGCCTTCTGCTGTGCTTCCTGGCTACTATGAGTTGAGCAACTTTCCTCTGCCAAGTTTGTCTATAATGTCGTTTTTGCTTTGTAGCCAGAACCACCCACTTAAATTCTGAAACCTTGAGCCAAATTAAACCTCTTTTTCTTTGAGAATATCACCAGTGGGAAAAACTGATGAATATACTGGGTTAGGTTATGAAATGAGGAGAAGTCATGTTTGTAAATACTCTTTTAAATTTAAGATCATGGATCTAATACTTCCCTGGTTCTTGGTTGTTTAGTACATTTTCTCAATACTTCTAGGCCAAAAGCAATATGCATATGTCATTCAATATGTAGTTAGGTTGAAACAAGTAAGCATTTATTGACTAGCATAATTTGGAAAAAAAAGTATCATTTGAAAATAGACACGCAAATTGGAAGAAAAGGACTTTTATTTTGTTTTGTAAAAAATTATAGTCCCTTACTAATGGGATGTAGCCATCTGTCTCTGAATGACATCTCAAACACAGGAATTACACTGGACACTGCCACTGTATTTCTTGTCCACATTGATTTAAATAAAGCACATTTTATCACAGTAATTGTTATGAATCCAGCTTTGCAAAAATAGGACATAATATGATATAATCTAATATTGAAATTGTGAACTACCTCTCGCTGCCTTGAAGGTTTAGTGCAGTTAGGGATCCATGGATATAGATTGTCAGTGGAATTCTAATGGGATGTTGATGGAAATCAGGGTTTAAGGGCACCCTTGCAAGGCTGCGTGGCTGAGGAGTATCTCAGCAGCTAGGTGGTTCCAGAAACAAAAGCTGGGGAGAAGCTAGGCTAGGTGTTCCTCATCGTCTTCCAACTCTAACCATTCTGTTTTTTTTTTTTTTCTGTATCAGTTAGCGTGCGCTGCAGAAGCGTGTAGTTTTTTCCTTCTAATCTACAAATTTCACCTAAGAAGCCATGCCTTTTAAAATCCATATTTAGAGACTCATGGGAAAACATATTTTTCCTTTTATATGACTAACAGAAAACGAATACCTCTGTAGCCCAGGCTGTGTTAGTCTTTTTGGGCTATAACAACTTATCATAAACCGAAAGGTTTCTAAATGACAGGGCCTTCCATCCTTCCCTCCCTCCATCCTTTTTCCCTTGTTTCCTTGAACCTAGGACTTTCATATGGAGCTATATCCCTATCCCTTTTTATTTTGACATAAGACCTCACTAAGTTGCCCACAAGGAACTCAAAATTACTATCCTCCTGTGTCAGCCTCCCTAGTGTGCTGGGTTCATGAACAGATGCCATCATGCCAAGAAAGATATCTGTTTCATACAATTCTGGAACTAGGAGGTTTATAATTAAAGCACTGTAGATTCAATGTCTGATAAGGTTCATCATTCTTATTCATAGATGGAGCCTTTCTGTTGTGGCCTTAGATGGTGGAAGGGAAGAGGGAATATTTGGATCCTCTTTTAGGAAGGCAGTACTTCCAATCATGAGGACACTATCCCCATAATCTATCTAATCACCTCCCTCAATATCAGAAATTCCAACATTAACAATATGTAGGGGAAATTTTCAAAATGTGAATCTTGAGATTACACAAACATTCAGACAGTGACACAGCAAGATAAAACTATCTAAAAGCATGGTGTCTCAATCAACTTTGCATCACTTTAAGGAAATAACTAGGGTAGATTAATTTATTTTTTAAAGTTAATTTTGACTTACAGTTTTGGAGTTGTGAGATCTGGGGGCCTCATCTGATGAGGTAGTAGAGTTCTGATGTGGTGCTACATACCCCATGGCAAGGGAATGCATGTCTGTGCTTGTGTACCTAGTTTCTTTCTCTCTTTTCATCAAGCCACAGGACTCAGTTCATGGGCTCTGTGCTTGTGACCTTCTCTAAACCTAATCACTTTCCAAAGGCCTCACATTGAAACAGCACAGTTGGATTAAGTTTTTACCCTTATAATACCGTGAACATATGACTTTGGGAATTAAAGTTGTACATGATTTTGGGGGGCAAACACTTAACCTATAGCACCTGGTTTCCTTTGTTTGCTATTATGTGTGTTACGACAGAGCTGATATAGTCCTCAAAATCATATTTTGAACTCTGAAAAACTCCCTTCCTTCCTTCTCCTCTTTCTTCCTTTTTTTCTCTTTTTTTTTCAAGCTGCTTGATCATAAGATCTCTGTTTCTACATGCCCACACCTGCTTTATATGTATGAGTTGACCAACTCATTGTGACAAGAGAATCCTCTGATATTCTTTAGAATTCCAGCTCCTTTTTTTTTAAAGTTTTAAGTTTTATAGTCTCCCAACCTGACCAAATTACAATGTAGTCTACAAGGTAAAGGTTTATGTAAAACCCTCAAATGAGATATTTTTTTTCCTGTACTTCACCTGGAACTTCAGTTGTTTTGAGATTTGAGAAGCATTCATAAAATGCAGAGCATCTTAACATTTCAACTGTATTTCTCCTGTTACAGGAGGCAAATTTCCGTAAATTTGAGGGATGTGGTGTGAAGAATTGTGCTTCATCTAAAAATGTCCATGTTGAAATATTTGGAACCTGTGATTGTAACAAAAGGAACTCTGCTGGCGGGATTAAATTAAGGATCTTTATTATGGGAAGAATATATTGGATTGTTCTGGTGGACCTAATGTGTTCACAGCTGTCCTTTTAAGTATAAGAGGGTGGCAGGAGGCAGTTAGAGGAGTTGTAATGGTGGAAGCAGATGTTGGAGTGATATGATTGCTGACTTTCAAAAAGAATGAGGGCAATAGCTGAGGAATGAGAGTGGGTTACAGAAACCGGAAAAGGCACGAAATGCACCCTGCTCACTATATCTGAGTTTTAGCTCTGTGAGATTCATCTTGGACATTTGACTCCTAGAGCTTAAGAAAATAAATGTATATTGTTTTATGTAATTTCATTTGTGGTAATTTGTCACAGTTGTAATAGAAAATGAATACAGGTATTAAGTTGAAGAAACCATAAAATGTTCAGAGACTTTTGAAAATTAATCTTTAACTCATATTTTAAAATTATATAGCTCCCAGAAACTCAAACTGATAACTTCTTCATACATTCACTCTTCCCAGGTGTATTGCTGCAGAATTATACTATCTTGGTGTTCACACACACATATTCTCACTCTAAAATACTTTTGAAGTTCTTGTGATTGCTTTCAACAAGCTTCCAGTCTGTGGCAGGTGCATGCATTTTATGAATCCTGCTTTAACAGTGATTATTGAAATGCTCCAAATCATGATCAGTTAGTTTAATCAGGAACTGAGGGTCCATCTGTGGTGCCCAAACTGCTGGATGTTAGGCCCTTGCTGATACCATTATATATTTTTCATTGTAAAGCATCTCATATTCACTTTGGGATATTAGAAGTAATATTTTTGGTTAAAAGCACATTTGCTGTTCACATACAAACCTGATGGACTTGGCTTTGGTGTACCATTGGACTACTTTGACTGGTCACATAAGCAAAGGATTAAAAACAATGTGGGTGCTTCCATATTTTTCTAGTATCTGTGGAACCATCTGTCTCTACATATGATTACCATAAATAATATTTCTGCAAAGGCATTTTAAAATATCTCCAAAATATGCTATCCTTTTTGCTTGTTTGAAAATTAGGTTCTTTGACTGTATTCCAGCCTTTAGGTATGTTTCAGTCACTCACTGCTGTCTTACATGACCCCTCCTTTGCCAGCTCAAAAACTAGTGCAAGTGATAGAAGAATAATAAGGGAGGGGGAAGGAAGCAGGGGAGGAGAAGCGCTTTGTAGAACTCAGTGTGATCTTTGGAGAGAATTGTTGAATGAGTTTTCACATGGCTTTCGGGTTTTGTGAATGAGCTCTGTTTTGCAACTTTGAAGCTGTGAAACAATACTTATACTCTCCTCAAAAGGAGCAAAATGAGTGCTCTGATGCGTTAAACTTTTTCCATGTTAACAAAGTTCAGATATACATCACATTTTGTGCCTTCACTGCATAAGCAGTTTTGCTGGAAGTCACTCAGTGTATCCTAGGTAGTTCATCACAGCAGTACAGGCTTTTTGACCATCTCATGGTTGTTGGTTTGTGTTCATTTTATAGACTCTTGTTTAAAAAACATTTCTAGAGTTCTTTATGATTTGGAATTAACCATGGCCAAATTAACTGGTTCTGTTTTTCTTCTTTTATTTGTACATTTGGTTCACAGTCACTTTCAATATGTTGGCGTCTAACGAGGTCATAGTAGTCAACTTTTCCTTTGCTGTATAGAAAAAAATACTTAAAGAGATTAATGTTGAGTCACAGTTTCAGACATTTTGTCATGGTAGCCTGGCTGTAAGAAAGACCATCATGGCAGAAGAGCATGGCGGAGGAAAGCTGTTTACCTCATGGCACCCTGGAGAAAATTGTGGAAAGAGCCAAAGAGAGAGGAAGGGGCCATGGACAAGAAAATACCCTTTTAGATGATGCTTCCAGTGACCAGTCTCCTCCAACTGAGCCCTTCCTGCTAACAGAATATTCTACTCTGAATCCATCCATGGTTTAATCCACTGATGATCCTAGCACCTCTATGAGCCAATCACATTCCAAAAGCCTCTGAACACATGAGCCCTTAGGGGGACATTTTTTAAAAAATCTAAACCATGAAGGTTAAACCAATAGTTTTTCAAGTCTGATTTTGCATGAAGTAGATGCCCAAACTATGTGAAGTTCAATAATGTTCATTTTCTTGTTTAGTCTTTGTAGTAATCTTTAGCAGGGCTGAAAGTCTTCTTTAAAGAGAAAGAATATGTGGCTCCAAAATTCAACAGAGTAAT